TCACGTTGCTGACGAGAGCCTCGTGCAGGATCGTGGGTTTCCATCGATAAACCGTTATCAGGGTGGGCTCAGATACAGCATCACGAGGGAAGGCTAGATGTACAGCCCCTAGCTTGATGTTCCAATGCACGTCCTCGCTAGTGAGTGTTCCTCTGAGAATAATCACAATGCCATGAATGAAAATGGAATCAACTAGATAGAAAAGACAATTTTCGCTTAAATTGTAATCCATAATGTCATCGACACCGCTTTCTCTTTGGTTTAGTTTTTCCGTCAAAATTCCTGGATCGCAAACTTACTGCCAGGCTCAGGTCCAGTATATCTAAACCAGCAAAATTGGGAAAAATTTCCCTCAGTACGCTCTTTAACCCTTTAACTCCCATGAGTGACCAAGACAGAATTTCTCCTTACAATATCAATACAATATCAAGCAGACAAGTGATGAGAATCAAGAAAAATATTAATTAGGGGATTATTAGTTGATCCAATACCAAATTCTCCATACTAACATCACAAGAACTGTATGGCAGACAGTAAGGAGAATTACTAATGAGATCTTGGGGGTTAAAGAGTTAAGAAAGTAGCCATCTGACCTGAGCGCAAAAACGCACTAAGAAAAATAAAATCAGTTTGTTACGAGTCCAAACTTGTTTCTTTCCCAAGAGCCAACAATTTTGCCGTCTGGCGCGACCTAAACCGGCAGTACACAGTTTGGCATGACATGTAACTGTCGATTTTTCCCTCTCTTATTTTCTTCTTTCAGCTAACCTCTAGGGCGGACGTGCAGCTTTCTCAGGCCCTGCACCTGAAATTGCTTACGGCCCTCATACAATAATTTTTATACGTTTTTTTTTTTTTATTTTTTTCAATGATAACGCACAGGGCCACTTATGTCATTTGTTGTCAGTAATCGGATCTTTGTGTTTGCGCAAAGATTTCTGGGATCGCAAATTGCAACTCGCTAGAAAGATCACTGGTCACTCATTCATTTTCACTTACTCGTGTATCTTTATCCTATCTGGATCCTGTTCCTGCTCACTTTCTAACTCTTTGCCATCTTCTTCTTGAAGTGTTAGTTGTTGCACTTGCCCACTGGCCTCTGGAATCTCTTCGCTACCATTGCTACTATCGAGATCATCATCATCATCATCATCGGAAGGAAAGTCAACTTCATTATAATCGTCATCGTCATCGTCATCGTCATCGTCATCGTCATCGTCATCGTCCTCACTAGACAGCTGTTCAGCTTCTAAAATAACATGGTTTTTTGTTTGAAAAAGATTTCACCAATGAAAAGCAAAGGTCTGAGGTTCGATTCCTCATTGGAACCGTCAAAATTCTTTCTTTGTTCCACGCTCGTGACAAGACGAAAAACATGTTTCTCTAAACTAAAACCCATTCAAGTTTATGTCATCAATTGATAGATCAAAGAGCTTTGTCATACCTTTAACAAACTCTTATACTTCTGTTTCTTCTTCTCTTTCATCTGTGATGTAGCCATGTCTACAAGAGTGATGAGAATGTCGATTCTATCGCGCGCTGACATCCCGTCCTTGTTTCTTTTCCATTTCTTTTCATAAAATCGAAAGGCTTCGTTACTGTACTTTTCGGCCTTACCTTTCTCGCGAAGCTGGTCACAGAGATTGCAGAGAGTTTGCAGAATGTCCTCTCTGGCGGTGTCTGGTAACTTTCTCGTGTCGGGTGAATTCCACGCGCCTTCATAAAATCATGGTATGGCATGGTATCTCTTCTTTGTTTACTGGTCGCCAAATTCATCAAGCCTTTTGTTTATTGAATCAATAACTCTCTTGTTGGCGAGAGAAAATTCAAACCCTTCGAAGGCTCTTTCTTCGTCCCAGTAGCGTAGATAAAAGTCAAATGCTTCTTGTCGAAACTGATCTTTCCTCTTTCCTTTGAGGGGCATCGCTTCGTAGCTCTCAACGATTCTGACCACCACCTCCCTGTGGTTTCGTTGGCCCAGTGACTTCTCAATCTTCCATGCTTCCTCATAAAACTCTTTCCCTTTGTTTAAGTCCTTCAATCTTCGACAAATCTCCGCCATTTGGAAAGCACTTCGAGCAGTGTCAGGGTGCCTTCCCAAAATGGCCTTCCGGACCTCGTAACCGTTCTTTGCAGGTTGGTAGGCGTCTCAGTTAAAGTTTTGCAACCAACAGCACGCGTTTGCTATGTTTTGATTGTACAGAGCAGTGTTCACCATGCCTGGGATTTTTAGTTCCTTCAGTTAGAGAACTCTAAGGCCTCTTTGTAGTATTCGACTGCCTTTTCAAATCGTTTCTTTCCTTCATAAACCGTCCCGATCTGTCCTTTGAAGAAGGGCATGTCAAAATGTTTCATTGAGCCAGAGAGCTGTTTTCTCATCTCGTATGCTCTCATGTAGTACTTTATGGCCTCGTCATGGTCTCCTAACCTTGAAGCGCTTGTGTGGCTGTGAAGTACATTTTCCATTATCTTCAGCGCCTTGTGCAAAATCCTCAGTGACTTTGCCATAATCCCTGCTCTGTAATACACTTCACCCTTGGCGTACAGGTAAGAACTCTTAACCAACCTAAAGTAATCTGTGCTCTTAAGTTCCTTCTGTCCTTTTTTAAGCGACTCTTTTGCTCTCCTCGCGACTGTCAATGCTCTCTGCCATCCTTTAAGTTTAAGAACCATCAAAGTTTCTCGGCATTTTAGCTCCGCTCGAAGCAGGGAACCTAGAAAGACAACAAGGGAAACAAATTTTTCTCTCCCACTAAGTTTTATGCACATTTTTAACCAAAGAGCGTTTTTATTTCTTCTTAGAATGTCAATGATGGTAAACTTAAGGAATTTTTCCGGAAAGTCTGGATAGGGACGCATCTGCATCTTCAAACCTTGACCCAATTCAGGAAGTTACCCTTGACAAGATAAAAAATATCCGTATATTGTAACAAACGACCTTGTCGAGTCTCGTCAACAAAGCTGAGAATAAACATACTGAATCTTAGTTCACATACCCTGTATAACTTCATTGTGAAAGATTCTTAGGGAGTTTAAACAGATTAGAAAAAAATAAGAAGGCTATAACCTCCTTACCGAGAAGGTCACATTACACTAAGGAGCTTTGATCATGTGGTCTAATCGTCCAGGTGGGTGAAGTCCTGAGAAGTTTAATTGCTGGGCCGATAAGGTCGAGAATGATGTAAAGGAAGGTAAAGTTTTATTACTTACCAGAAAAAAGTCTCAGTTTACGTAGGAAGTTTTTCTGGATACTTCGGTAGTGTAAGTAAGCTGTCGACGTAATGGAAAAACTAACAGATAAAACTGACTAAACTCGACTGACAACAACAATTTACTTGGCTCCGGTGATGACCTAAGCTCAGGTTGTCGAAACTTCAGTCACCACTGCCGACAACAGTCCTTGGATTTGCTTCTAAGCTTATTTTCGTTTTGCCGGGTGCTATAGCGTTGAAAACCTAAAAAATGAACGTCTTCCATCTCTGTGATTTCTCTAAAATCAGCCTTGAATTTCCTCCCTGGCAAATTTGAAACAGTTTCCATTGCCAATTTCTTCTTGCCTACTCCTCTAATTCCAAGCAAATTGACAACACGTGAATTTTCCGTTATCAACATTGCCATAACTTTCTCTAGGTCACGTTCCCTGCCGGTCACACCTGATTCTCCCTTTCCAGGACTGGCCTCTTGTTGGCGGTTTTCTTTAAATTGTTGAATTTTTTTCTTTCAACGACTTTTTCTTGGACGCTTTCGGGCTCAGAAACCCTTCCGACAAAGTCAGATTGTCCTCCGATACAAGACCCTGCTCAGCCAATAATTGGATTGGAGGCATGAGTACAAATCTTGTTCTCCTTGATCCTCAAACTTGCCCCTAAAATTATTTTTTATGGACGATACAGCATGCCTCAGTTCTTCATCATATCCGTTAGCGGATTTGGACCAGGGGGTCTAAATCCGCTGGGACAACGGCGTTTTATGCAGGAGACTGATATGATTAGTGACTGACAAAAGCAATTTTAATTACGCCACCCAGGAATTGACCTTTAGTAACCGATCTCAGTTGATATTATACAAATCAGTTCAGTCAAGAAGCCGTTGTTGTAAACTTTTCTAAACGCTTAAGTCGGTTAATAGTTAGGTCTATCACTAAGTACAAGAGGACCTTTAATTAAAATGACTGATTTAATTTGCAATTCTTAAAGCATAAAACCACTTATAATTAAAAGCCCTTTGATGGCCCATTAATAATTTTGTCTTTCGCATCATTGGTTCCATTAACACAAGTTTTAACCTTAGCAAAGCTTAACTTCGGTTGTATTTCTGAAAACGATTTCATCAACATTCGAAACTTGACGACTGGTCTGCCGTTCAACGAAGCGAATGCCGAGAGAGTTGGGCCGGGAACCAATCTTTCTCGGCTCGTTTTACTCTGTAAGCAGGAGACCTGTTCTGAGGCTGTTAGTTGTTCACTTGAGCTAGATCTTATGTAAAGTTTCTGTAATGATAAAGCAAAAATTGAGACGTTATACTTGGCACTGAAATGACAGAAATTGTGTTTTACTAGAAACCATCAATTTGACAAGAAGCTTACAACAAATTTTACATGCGTCCGATTTTATGTTTCTCGTTTCGAAGGCGAGCTACTTACATGCATCCCTTGCGGGGAAACGTTCTTAGTACAGTCCACTGCAGGACTGGGTTACAGCAAAGACTCGAAAAGACTGTCAAAGCATATCGTGTTTTTTTTTACGGTTCGTTTCCCCGGGAGTTTTGTCTTTGTTTGCGTATGTATTTGTATGTTTTTAATATTTGTTGAGCCCAAATTAATCTAATTCATTTTGTCAATGGCTTCACGTTTTCTTCTTCTTTACTGCCGCTTTTTAGATCAGTGATGTAGTCCAGTCCAGTCCATTCTGTTCTAATGTTTACAAGGTGGAAGTTTGGAACCTAACTTGCCTGGGATCGAGACTGGAAAGAGGATGGAAATGAAAATTTCCCACCGAAGGAAGCCAGATTCGATATTAATGTGAAGGAGATTTGCAAACTTAGGGTGGACCGACGCGATGGCTGAACCATAGGATCGAGAAAGGCCAACCAATCCCAGTGATAAAGGATGTATTTGAGAGCCACATGTAAAGATAGACCCATTGGATGAGTTTGGAAAATATGAGCGAGGAGGAGTACAGTCCTCCTAAATTGCCTCGGTTGGATGATTTATTTTCCGATATACTACCACCGGTAAGAGAATTTCGAAATTTTGGGATATCACTTAGTTTAGATTTCTCGACCAGCACCACTAGCTATTTCTCTAGCGTTGTGCTACTGAATTCTTTTAAGATTTATCTTCGTAGCGAAAATGATGTGAGATCTTGGCAGTATTAAAGCTTAAATTCATATTGTTCCCTTAGACATCGTTTTCGAAAAAAGACTTGAAGGTCTCAGGCAAGACCTTGGAATCTTGAACGAAATGTCGTACCAAAAATTGTTATCAGTGACTTACAATTTAGAGAATTCTTGAAAGATTTTCAATAATATGTGCAAACATTTTTCGGGCCGTAAAAGGAGAAGCTGCATCCCATATTTTCCTCAAGTATAGTAAGAGTTATAGGGTACAGCGTAATACGTGTAATTTACTACACGTGAAAAAAGTAGACTATGCGCTTTTCACACATGCTGATTGGCTGGCTTTTAGATGATTAAAATTCTATATTCCTCTGTGGCGAGAAGCAAAGTGGGTTCCTATTTCTCTCTGATGAAGAGGTAAATAAAGTTTGATTCAAGCATAACAAAGTGACAACTAAGTGTGGTTTGATTGCATTTCAGGTGTGGCCCCTTTACGGTGAGGTAAGTTAGTAGGTTACATAATTTTACCGTTCATTGCATTTTCCAACCTTTTATGGTAAAATATCAAAGTTTTGAATACTGTAATGAACAATCTAATGGAAACTATGAAACATGTAATGATTTTATGCAATGTCTAAAACTGATCAAAAAACATAAATTAGGAAATTTGAAGAGGACAAATGTCCACTACTCTTCACCTCTGCATCCTAGGCCCGCATTAGAAAAAAAACTTTTTGGGAGGTACACATGATTGTATAAAGGAAAATGATATTTTTATGCCCTATATGTCACTTACATGTAGATGTATGTTTTACAGTTAAGAGCTGAATTGGATTAATTTTAGAATGTGCTCACATAATAGGTAAATATATGTGCATTTACATATGCAAACATGAAAAAAATCTGTCTGGCTGACTTGTCATCAGTTTTGAAACATATTTCCCTGATGTAGCAGCAAAATTTGTGCAGAAAGTTTTGCCAAACAAGTACTGTAGCAAAGCAGAAAGCATGTTTTAATCTGGGACATTCTGAAAGAAGACATGAAGTAGTACATATTGATAAAAGCCAAGAACCTTTTAATGCTCTATCGAAGAAAGAGCAACTAATCACAGTGTGTTTGAGAGCCTCATGCAAAGACAGATCAAACAGATGAGCTTGGAAAATATAAGCAAGGAGGAGTGCAGTCCTACCAATCAATGTCAGCCTGAGCATCAAATATACAAATTAAGGAAAGAGCTGCCAACAAAATTTGGGAAATCACTTGGTGTAGATTTCCTGACCAGTACCACTAGTTTGTTTTATCCAGTGTTGTGTTACTGTATTCTTTTGAGATTTATTTTGGTAGCAAAAATGATGTGAGATCTTGGCAGTATTAAAGTTTAAGTTCTTAGTGTTCCACAAGACATCGTTTTCGAAAACAGACTTGAAGGTCTGAAGCAAGACCTTGGAATCTTGAGCGAAATATTGTACTACAAATTGTTATCTGTAACTTATGATTTAGAGAATTCTTGAAAGATTTTCAGTAGTGTGTGCAAAGATTTTTCAGGCTGTAAAAGAGAAGCTGTATCTCTTTTTTTGTTCAAGATAGCAAGTGTTAAAGGGTACAGTGTAATATGTGTAATTAACTACATGTGAAATAAGTAGACTAAGTGCTTTTCATACGTGCTGATTGGCTGGCCTGTATAAGTATAATTTTAAAATGTGTTTACATGATTGTTAAATATATGTGTATTTACTTAATTATGCAAACATGAAACAAATCTCTTATGCTGACTTGTCATCAGTTTTGAAACATATTTCCCCTTTGTAGTGGCAGAGTTTGTGTAGAGAGTTTTGCCCAACAAGTAAACCAGAAACTGTGTTTTAATCTGGGACATTCTGAAAGAAAACATTTGGCATGAAGCAGTACGTATTGGTAAAAGCTGTGTAAATTTTGTTGCATCATAACCAATGAAAATATATCTGTGACATCATGGTATTATTTGTTGCTGTAATTAATACAATGTAAAGTGCTAAACATGACAGTTTGGAACAATGCTTATACATGTACAAAGAGCCGAGAGATCTCCCAATCAGTGACCTTAACTATCATCACTTTTATTTTAAACATAGTTATTTGTTCCTCTTTAGCAGGCTGAAGCTTTAGGAAGGAGTTATGCTGAAAAAATAATTCATCAGCTGCCATACAATGGAAAAGTTGCCATCCTGGCAAATAAATGGAGATGGGAGTGGGGTTCTTGGGAATTCAACTCAATCCTCGCAAAAGAGTTGTCCCAACAACTGGCAAAATTCCCTTATGTGAAAGTCTCTGTCATGGTCCCTGAAGGTTCATGTGAGGAACTTGACAAGAGAAATGCTGAAAGTCACAATGTTACCATTGTTGAAGCAAAAAAGCTACATGGATTCCAAAATCCTAATGACTGGCTGTACTTCTTACCAAAAGGCCTCACTACAGACATTGTCATTGGTGTGGGTGAGAGACTTTGTAAAATGGCGCAAATATTTAAGGAACTTCACCACTGCAAAAGTATTTTTGTTGGTTGTGATTCTTTTGAAGAAAGCTTCTCTAGAGATGCAGAATTAAGAGATGCCCAGGCTAAGATGGAAGATGAATGCCTAGGAAAAAGCAATGTTCAGCCTATGATGCAAATGGCTGATCTTCCAGTTGCTGTTGGACCAAAGATAGCTGACACCCTTTCTGTTTCCCTCTCTCGTCAAGGAGAAGAAGTTTTCAAGTTGACTCCAGGTATACTCAGTGAATTTGCTGATGTCACACAAACCCTTTGTGATAGGAAAAAGTTTCGTATCATGGTGGCAGGTCATGGCCACCCCAGGTATTTTTACAAAGAAGAACTTGAAATTGTTGCAAAAGCAGTTGCTGGGTTGAAGGACAGATCCTATGAGATTATTTTAGTTGGTGCTGCTAAAGGAGAACATAGGGGATTTATTGAGAAATTTCATGAATGTGGTGTATCCAAATATCAGCTGATCATTCGAAGCCCTCCAAAAGATGAAGAAGATATGAAAAGGTGGCTCTGTGAAGCAGACCTTGCCATTGCGCCCTCAGGTGAACAAGGATTTGGAATGTTTGGTCTTATAGCCTTGTCATCTGGCCTCCCTATCCTGGTACATGGTGCATCAGGACTTGGTGAAGCCTTGGAAGATGTCGCTGGTGGTTGGTCATCCATTGTGGAGTCAGAGGATGTCACTGTGTGGTCCGAGGCAATTAAGAAGGTCAGGAACAAAGTTAGGGAAGTACGACTTGAAGAGGCTGATTCACTACGCAAACATTACAACGAGAAGTACAGTTGGGAGAAACAGTGTGAAGCTCTTGTCAAGGAGATGCAGAAGATGGCTTCTGGTATGAATTTCTGTTAGGTGACTTGCATGTGTTGCTTAAACATGTAGCAGTTGTCAGTAAAGCAATGCGCATGTTCACTGCAGTTGAATTTTATTTTCAATGTAAATGTTTAAGTTGAGTTAGTGATAATTCTGATCATCATTGTATTTATCTGTTGTCGCCTGTAAATGCATAACAAATAACTTTGAAGTAGAGTAAAATATTATACAGACATGGTATCCCATTCATCTCAAATTCCCATTCCTCTGTCTCATTTTGTCTTTTCTGTGTCAATTGCAGCTCAACAAGGCAAGACCCAGTAACGTGGAATCAGAGTGAATGCATTGCTCAGGTAGTAAATCTTTTCTTTTGATATGACTACAAAATATTGATAGGTTAACCAAGTGATAAAATTGTTAGCCGCTAATAACTGATTCCACCCATTTGGCTCTCCCTCATCATGTTTCTGCCTTAAAATGTTGTGATTTTGTGAGGAGAAATTCCTTTTCAGTCATTCCTTGTAGTGACTTCAGTGGAGTGCTGGTAAATATACTTTCTGAGACTTAAATGTGATTCGAATTGTCTAATTAATTAATTTAATAGATTAATTATAGTTATGTATTTTTTTTATTTCTCTACAGCCAAACAAGACCAAACACCCTTATCCAGCATGAGAGGGTGTGAAATGAACAATTATGTATTCATTTATTATTGTAAGGCATCTGCATGAAACTTAAGGATATAGATGTAGTACCTCTACTTTAAATGAGTACTATAGGAAGCTCTAAGCACATGTACTTTGGGTTGATAAACAGTGTCCATTGTCAACACCCAGAGAGGTGTGCTCTTTTACTCAACTTCATTAAGGTTTTTGCAATTGATATAACAGAAGCCTATAGATGGAGGCTTTTACATGTACAGTATATTCACTTCAGAAAAAGTTGGCAGATTCTAGTTTATTGTTCAATGTTTTATCTATCCTAAAAGTAGGCTGCAGTATTCCAGGTGGGACAGTATGTAGGTCTTGTATAGCAACAGTTCAACACAACAGCTAGGCACAAGCTTTTTTGAAAATATCTGAGGACTCCAATTTTGGCTTTGTCAATTATGATAACCAGAGTTAACACTCAGATAGGTAAGCAAAGAACACTTTTACTAAACTTTGTTTGTAATGTATGTGCACTCAATTATCATCTTAAAATAAGCTTGGAAGCTGGGGATCTCATAGTTATTTCAGGACTAGTGAGTTTCCTTCTCTGGCTTGACTATCATAACTTGTTGCTTGTATGGGCCAAAGGCAGACTAATTCAAGAATAGATACATAATTTCAGATAATGAGCTGATAACTTCCCATCGTGTAGACTCCCTGATTTACACAAGGAGGGCTATGGTAGTAATCATCTCCCTCTCTACCACCTTGGGAACAACTTCAATTCTAACATTCAAGTTTAATCTGTGAAATTTTGGAATAGAATGCGTGTTGATGATTCAGTTAGTTAGGGAGGCAATTAATTGTCATATGTTGTATTCCTATCTAAACTATTTTCGATGTAGCCTGTTCCACTCCCTGAGTCAGTGGAGGCATGTAAAAGAATGGGCAAATAACTAACAACGATTGTGGTTATCAGAACAGACCCAAGACAATTTTTGCTTGTTTGTGTTAGCCCACAGCCTGGCTTTTTTTTCACAGACAATTGGTACTAAAGTTGCCAATATTTAATGTAACTAAGTTATGCTGTATATAATTTCCTTGGTGTTTTTTCCTTTCTAATCAGAAAACTTTTAAAGAAATCATTGGATTTGTATTTGACTTCCTCCAGTGAATGGAAAGCTATCATGAATACTTTCAATGCTTTCTCTGTTCCACAGACATCAAAAACTTGCTTTGCTTCCCAGCATTTAAATTGTGTTGGAGTAAGAGAACCCACAAATGCAGTAAAATAATAATGATATTAATACTGATAAGAATGATAATGATCATTGTAACAACTTTATATCAGCACATTTATCAGGTGTCTCTTCATCTGAAATATTACTACCCACCAGGAGTGTTTAACATTATGATAATAAAACTATAATTAAATTTGAGAGATTAAATTTAATTAAATTTAGGAGACAAAGAAATGTTCATTAATTAAATTGTGTCATTTTAAGGCCCCATAAGTGACAACATGTGTTGCTATCTCCCCACAATCACAAAATGAAATGGTGATGGTGTGTAATTATAATAAATGGCAGGAATACTGAAAAGAACAGTAATGTATTAGATAAGATTCCCAATTTTGAGACAAGTTTTACAATTTGAACACTTTTGAAGAGTTTTATTTTGAGATCATTCAAAGTTTGCCCCTCAGCAGATGTTTTCTTTTAACCCTTTACCCCCTAACATCAGTATCCATATTCTCCATACTATTTACTATACATTTCCCAAGATGCTGACAAAGAGAATTTGTTTAATAATCAAGAGCTGCTTTAGTTGGTGATCATTTCCTTTATTCTCATAACCTTCATGTTTGATTCAAGGGTGATATTGTAAGGAGAATTTAGATGCTAGTCACTCTAAGGAGTTAAAGGGTTAACATTTGTTAACCAGGTGTGACATACATGCTCTTTTAATTTAATATAAATTATAACATGGAAACTGACTGCACCATTACCACTCTCACATTTTCTTAATTTAGTTTTATGATTGACCAAACCACCAATGTTTAATTACCACACCTGTCTTTCCATCATCTTCACATATCTCAACCCAGGATTCAAACACCATTATTAGTTTCCTATTCAGCATTGCAATGAAAAGGATGCAATCCAAGCAATCTTATGGAATTCACCTTGAAAAAGGAAATATTCTGGTTGTAAGGAGATCTCAACAGCGAACTCATAGTTTCCTCTGTCAGTCTCAAGTAAATGGAATGCTCTGACATAGTTTGGCTCTATGTATTTTGGCAATTTCCTCTATCTGACCTAACCTGAAGAGTTCACTGATAAGAGCGTGCTTTTGCCCCTGGGTAAATAGCAAGAAAGTTTTCCTGACTCTTGATACTATCAGCATACTTCTGTAAGAGTGAATGACTGTAATGCTTCCTTTCTTTTACATCATAAACTACAAAAATGATTCGACAGGCTACAAGACCCTCTAACTGAGCATTAGCCTCTGACTGGTCAACAGCTGTTTTCACAAAGAAAGGCCCATGAAATAGGGAAATCATTACTGCAGATACCTTCAAACCTTTAGTGGAAAGTGCATCGAATATTTCTCTCACAACCGATATCTGACCCATGTCAACTCCATCTTCCTCAAAACCGAATGGCTTCTCTGAGGCATGTTCCTCCACTTTGGATGTGAGAGCGAGTCTTGCGATGAGTTCATCAAAAGATTTCCGTCCTTGTCGCAAAATAGGATCCAACTATTCTAGAAAAAAGGGAGATCCTTCAGCGGCATTAACAAATTTAGCCAACTGATGGGATTGGACATCATTCATCCCTTCAGGAAAAAGAAATTTCTCCGAAAAATGGCGGGACTATCACTTCTCTTGTTACTCGTTCTAGTTCATCCCCGACACCAGCCATCTTTGAACGGATCTGAGCGGGTTTCTTCGGATAAACTTTTGGTTTTGTCGGGTTTAGTTCTGTTTTTGTTCAGGGTCTCACCTCTGCATTTCTACATTGGCCGTTTTTATGCTAGAGACGTTAAAGTTGTCTAAGACGTTAAAGTCGTCTCGAGACGACTTTAACGTCTCTAGCATAAAAACGGCATTGTTATCGCTTTAAAGGTAAAAGCTACGTCGTCAAACGTTCTCACATTTGCGTTTTACTCCGAACATATCTAACATATCCTTTGAAAAGGAATATAAATTGAAAGGAAATAATAGAAAAGGTTAACATTTCAACTACAAAAACAACTTTATTTGTACCCTACATTAATTTACATGATACAAAAATATATATTACTTGAAAAATGGAGAGAGATCAGGCTGCCCATAATTACCATTGAGGGCTAAAAAGATAGGGCAGCCTTACTTAAGTTATTAATAAATTATTCAATGTGAACTTAACATACACGATTTTGGGTGTGCCAAACTCAGTCCAAATTGCTAGTAACAGCAAAATACCCACAACTTTCTGATTCAGAAATTACTTGCAAAAAAGTTGTTTTTTAAAAAATGCATACAAATATTGTTATGCAGTTTATAAATTAATTCATCTCTAAAACCTACAGCCGCGCGCTTGAAAGAATGACAAATTTTCAGTGTGTTATTATCATATGGTACAACATTCCCTACTAGAATTTGGTTCGTAGATGCACAAATACTGATCTACATATTTACATGTACTAGGAATAAAGTTTAGCCAATGAGCCAAATTTAGATGTAACGTGTACTTTGGGCCTAATACTCTTAAAATTCTGAAGTCACTTTGCCCAAATGCTCAAGGCCTCCTTAGACTTAGAAGGGTGGATAAATGAGCGACCTTTTACGTGAAAATATTTTTCTTTTTTTCTGTTTTATATACAGCAACGCCTCTGAGGATAAAAGAGAGCTGAATTGCGAATTCTCCCTTCTACCAGACTTTCAAATAGTCCAAAGATCTCAAATTATATTGAAAAAATTCAAACTTTTACTAAGTTTACAAAGCTTTTTTCAATTTTTGCTAGCAGTCTTCATCCAAAGCCACATGGGCGCGTATGTGTGTGCATAACAAAGTTACATGCCCAAATCACGCAAATTTTCTATTGTCCGTTAGAGTGTTCGCATGATGTTATTCTGACCGTAACATGTCTGGCATCACGTGATTGCTCGTTTCGTTTCGTGTGTACCAAGGTACATTGTGCATTGAATGAAGTCCAAAGACACGTCGTTGAAGAGACAAATTGCATGCTAAATTCTTCCAATTTTAGTAGCTCTATGAGTCTAACTCCATTTGATCCAAACGTCTCAAATTAAGACAATCTACAATGTCGTTGTTGATGTCCGCTAATCCTATTCTAATCAGAGCCACCATGACTCTTCTGATCGTCGCCTTTTCGCCGTTCTCTTCGTATC